GTTATTATATTAGTATTATATTAGTATTATTATATTATTATATCATAAAATTATACATTTTATATTATTAGAAATTGAATATCGTTTTTGATTTTTAACTTCTTACCTTAAAACCTCAACAACTAATTTTTACCATAAAACATGCGAGTAATTTTTTTTTGTAGGGAGTGCGAAGGTTCGTTACTAAATTTTTAAGGGTGCGAAATACAAGCAAAGCTGGGAAATCCTGGCCTAAACTGAAGAAAAAACAAAGTTAGATTTATGATTTAACTATCAGTTAATTTATCAAGAAGTTGAAACAACCTCCTTGGTCCTTGGTTGTTCTTCCGTCAACCGGTTTATCTTTGTTTTTCCTTTAATTTAGACAAAGGCAGACATATGATTCAACTATCAGTTAACTTAGCAAGAGGTTGGAAGAACCGGCCCCTGATCCGACTAAACAGCCAGGCGTTTCCATGTATTGCGTGACGCTTAATCCGAATAGTTGCAGAATCACACTTCGTCGGCATGCCACGCGCCCCGATCGGCCTCGAATTCCGCTCTGAGACGGAAGATCAAGCGGGACATAATGCACTGTTTTCTCATTGATCTCTTGCTCAACCACTCTGCTGATCCGCAGCAGCTACCTACAGATCCTTCAGTCGCCTACACGTGCGATGATGCGGGAAGAGCGTCAGAGACAAACAAGTGACGCAAAGCGATGAAATTGATATCGATTATTAATCAGCCGACCGCTCTTTATGTAATAGCCAATTACGCACAAGCAGAAGGGAAAAAAAAGAAAAAAACGTACTTTGCATAATACTTGATACTGGCGGCGCAAAAAGTTTATTACACCTCTCCCCGAGGCCTCTCTCCGAACGAGCATTTTCGCGTTGAGAAGAAAGACGAAATGAGAGAAGAAGGACAGAGATAAGAGCCGCGGAGAACGCACTGGGCTTCCATCGGGGGCAGAAAGGATGGCGGCGGGACGAAGGAGCAGGAGGAGCGAAAGCTGTCTTGCGGGTTTCACAAGAGGCAAGGCGAAGAGGGACGAAGATCGGAATTCGGCCTTCCAATCTGAGACATCTCGGAGGGGTTGTCGCTCTGAAATGAACGGCCAACACGTGCAACCCTACGGCGTCCTTGAGACCCCGAGGATTCCCACAATCCTTGAAACTACTAGCGCTACCAAGCGCTCGAGACTCAGCGACTTGCAATCTGCCGCAGGAATTACTCGAGTTCACACAACGACGCGTTTCACGCTTTCCACGGATGTCGAACAAAAGCGAAAGAAGTAAGGAGAGGCGTGTTTGCCCTCAAGATATTCTCTCGGGAACCTGTCGCTTCGTCGACCGCTCCGATAGAAGCGAGCCGCGTTGATCGTCGGTAATTGCAGCGTCAAATTCGGTTGGTTTATGCACGGTCGGTGCACGTAGGACGAGTCGGAAAAGTCGCGGCGGGCCCACAGATTCCTATATTATAGACTAGACCGATAACTTCTATTGGCTTTCATGTATAAAAGCGTCCCTTATGTAAAACATAGAATCGTGCGCACAGGCGCGTTGCAAGGTCTCGAAAGAGACATAACTGCGCCGTACAGGCATTTTTACTACAGAAAATATTAATATTTATCCAATATTTAATATTTATGTGAACATTAAATGTGTCATTAAATGTGACATTGCAAGAAGAAATATTAAATATTAGATAAATATTAACATGTTCTGGACTAAAAAATGCCTGTACGGTGTAGTTATATTCCTTTCGGGATTTCGCAATGCGCATACGCGGGATTTTAGTACACAGGGGGGGGTGTACTTTTAGGGGACGTGTTAACGAGACAAGTTATCAGTTTAATATATAATATAGAAGTCTGTGGGCGGGTCTTAGCGCGACATTTCCAGTCTCGCGATTCTTCCGTCAATGTCACTGATCTGATGAATCCACGCGGCGGCAAATATTGCGCTTCACGAAACAGCGAGATACGGTTATGATCTTAACGTCATTCTGAATGACACTTAAAAGGTTATAGCCGTCGCTCATTGTTTATTAAAAAATTATGAACAAACAGTTAAATAAATTTAACTAATTTAATAAATTGAATTTAATTAAATTTAAATAATTTAAATAAAAGTTAAATAAAATGTACAATTGCAGTCATATGTGAATAATCATAATACTGTTATTCATCGCACAAATATACATAATGTAAAAATAATTAATACAAAATAGAAATATATATAATATAAAATAATATTTTTTGCATTAAACCGAGCTTGGGTTAGGTTAGGTTAAGTTTTTCATCGTAAAGTGAAGCAGTGGAAGAGATTCTGCCTCTTTCCCGTCCACACGTGTATGCTTGACATTTGTATACAACACACTATACAGGGTGTCTGAGAAATTTTGGACCAACCATTTGTACAAGTAGGACAAGTAAAATTGAACAATAAAGTCATATAAAATTTTCCAAGAATGGCAATAGTTATTAAGTTATTAATTAAAACGCCTGGACCAATGAGCGCACGGGAAACGGTAAACTGGACTCGCCAGAAGTGTAAAACAATATAAAGACAAGACAAATAATATATTTCTGAATATTCGTAATAAAGACAATTGCTGATTGCATGAGGCGCGTCAACACACAAGATATTTTTCTCGTCTTCAACGGCAAGACATATTTAACGTACCAGCTGTTCTAACTTTCGGCGCCAGCACGACACTCGGTGAAAGCATGTCGTGCCGTCGACTTACTGCACTCCTGCCGGTAATTCTAGCTTGTTCTACTCGAGTTCCATACAATTCAACTAATTTCAATAATTGTTCCGCCGTATAACTATTTTTAAATTAATTTTTAAATTAATTAATTTTTTAATTGATTTTAACTGGGTGAAAATGTGTCGTGCTGGTGCCAAATGTTGCCCCGCATTTGTCACCTCGTAAAAACTTAACCTAACCTAACCCAACCAACGTTGCTATACAATATCACCAATGTCGTAATGTATGCTAATATCGTAAATTATCATAAGTTTGAGTGAAAAAATTAAAGTCAAGGTTAAAAAGTTAGTTCATTCAACTACGTTTCTATCGCACACATCCAAGTGAGTTCAGACAAACTCGTATCGAGGTGATCGTGTCATGACAAAGTATCGAATAAATCGAGGCAAATGCGTTGAAATTAATTTAGCTCATTCAAACTGTATAATTGTGTAATCGATTTACTTTGAGATTGCACACTATTCGTTTAGTTCTGTGTCCACGGACATGCTTACAATTAACATGTGCTTACATATAATTAACATCGAGACATGCGAGATAAATGGATCACTGATATAATTTACAACTCGTGATTGCCATTGCGGACGAATACCATTATTGCGTGTATCATTTTTTTTTTTTACAAGAAATTGCAATAACTGATCATCTACCACTATTAGCAAAATTTAGTCGTGAAGCGCACGTTCAATTGAGCTTCGAATCGTATGCTGTTCTGCCTCTTCGCGGTCAAATACCGGTCGTAAGATGCACACATAAACATAACATTACCAAAATATGATGTAGATGCCTGTGAAACGGAAATTTAGCCAGATATATTCAGTTCGACATAACGATAATATTAACCCGACATTGCAGCGGATAAACCTTTTTGTTAACAACTTATTAATAAACAATGAGCGACTAAGACCTCTCAAATGTCAGATTCAGAGCGACTTTGATAACTTTATAATTCAGAGTGACTTCAGATGACTTTGTCAATTTATGTTAAGGTCGCGGCTCCGTATCTCGTTGCTCCGTTATAAACACAATATTTAACCATACGGCTACACGCTCGCAAGTGTCTGCTCGTTGCGGAGTTTCCTCCATCTCGTTTCTCCTCCCAATGCGACGAGCACACTGTCGAGTCGCCGAAATTATAACTTTATCGCGAATAACTGTCTATAACTGTCGCGAACATATAACTTTCTCTCTCCTTCCCTATTTCTTCTCTCTCTCTCTCTCTCTCTCTCTCTCTCTCTCTCTCTCTCTCTCTCTCTCTCTCTCTCTCTCTCTCTCTCTCTCTCTCTCTCTCTCTCTCTCTTTAAAATCGATTTTCACACATATCACCATTTCACCGAATCTGATACATACTTTTCGTGATTAATAATGACGCCGGTTTCTAACACCGGCAAACATCTCTTTTTACGAATGGCTAGGAACAATGGTTGAGAACGTACGCGGAGATTACATACAAGGTAAAGAAAAACGATCGATCCCTCTAAATAACTGAAAATGTACGAGATAGAAAACAGTGTTGAGCACAAAAGTTGTAGGGTTTTAAGTGATACATCATATAGCAATACTAGTATGACTTCGAACAGCGTCATCAAGGTTACCGAAAAGTTATCTTGATTTTTTTTAATGGAAATTCTCATTTTATATTATATCATCTGTTCTTACCAATTAATTTAAACAATTTTTGTTTGGAAGATTTTTCTATTTGCCTGATACTTTTCGAGAAATTTAGAGAAAACTTGATAACTGTTTTAATGTTTGGTTTACGATATCTCGATAAATATTTTACAATATTCAATAACCTTTGATAATTTCAGAATCATTGTGTTAACAAAAGTTAGAGCACTGTTGTAACAGCATATTCTTAAGACCAAATAGAGTAAAAATGTCTAGTACGACACGCACACACACATACACTTTTTTTCTTTACTTTCGCTAAATAATTACCCAGATATTGTAAGTCAAATGTTGAAAAATTATCAAGTTTTCCTTAAGTATCGCAAAAAATATTAGGCAAGTAAAAAAATGTTTCAGACAAAAGTTGTTCAAACTAATTGGTAGAAGATACAAAAAATAAGGGTTTCTACTTAAAAATTCAAGATAATTTTTCCGTAACCTTGATGACTTTTTCCTTAAATATCGCAAATAATATTAGGCAAGTAAAAAGATGTTTCAGATAAAAGTTGCTCCAATTAATTGGTAGAAGAAGATAATATAATATAAAAGATAATATAATATAAAATGCAGGTTTCTATTTTAAAAATTCAAGGTGACTTTCCCGACGCTGATGAACCTTAATGACGCTGTTTAAGGTCATACTAATATTACTACGTGATGCGTCATTTAAAATCTTACAACTTCTGTACCAAAAATCTTGCATATTTTCAAAGTTATTCAGGGGGTCCAACTTCTTTCCCCGTCCCCTATAATATATAACCCTACAACTCGGTTCAATGTGTGCGAATAGCTCGCGAATAATGGATCCCGAAAATGTGCATGTGTATATGCGCGCTGCGCGCAAGACATGCCTCATTATATGAACGCATGTGCGTGAGACGCGCTTGTCTGCACGTATAATATTCAAAATTTCCACTCGCGTCACTCGCGAATACAAGCACAGCCGTCGCCGCGGCACACACCCTCGCCACGTGTGCGTGCGTGTGAGGTGACCCGCGTCACCCTGTGCCCGCGCGATTCTGGCCATGTACGTATCAGCAGCTTTCGACAGAGAGAGAGAGAGAGAGAGAGAGAGAGAGAGAGAGAGACAGCAGCTCTTGACACATTCGGAGCGCCGAGTGCTTTCGCACTCGCCTTTATTCACCTCGCACGTGGAGGCGAAGTGCACGCGCGCGGGAGCAAGAGAGAGAGAGAGAGAGAGAGAGAGTGTGAGCCAGGTATGCCGACGATGCGCGAATGAAAATAAGATAAGGCAGGAACTCCGACGGCACGTGGCTTCCCGAGAATCATGTTGACGGCCGACAACATCAAACCGGCCACCCACACTCGTGGGAGTGCGTCAAAATCGGGCGACGCGCGGCTCTCGCGCATAAACAGCAATGACGCGATAGGAACTGTCTGGGGATCGCCGAAGGTTTGCCGATGCATTTGCATTTTTTGTGTGTTCGCAACGGACGAGCAGGTGGACAACCTTGGACTACGTGCGAAGGCGGCGGCGGCGGAGGCGGTGGCGGCGTCGAAAAGCGAGAGAGAGAGAGAGAGAAAGGGAGAGAGAGAGAGAGAGAGAGATGACTCGGCGGTATCTATATATGAGCATTTCGCGTATCGCGCGTGAATTATATGCCACTCATGTAATCTCTGAATCAATTAACTATTACATTCGTCCCGGCTGTCAGTCGGGGTATGAGCGTGTTTATAAATAAACTTCTAGATTCGAAGGCGAACGTGTTCAGTGTTTAATCTTTGCCAGCAAAGCGGAAGAAACGAACAAATACGCTCCCACACACGCGCGGGCGTTTGTGTGTCACACCATTCGCAAAGATTACATTATCGCGAGCGGCCCGAGACGCGCTCTCTCTCTCTCTCCCCCTCCCTCCCTCTCTCTCTCTCGCTCTCGCTCTTGCTCTCGCTCTCTCGATGTCTCTCGAAACTGGTAGATCGTCGACGTCGGGTCGATTTTGCGCCCATCGCCACGTCCAGAATCCAACGCCGATGTTCCACGCACCGTCCCGCGCTACAAAAGAGATTCATTATGGATGTTGAATTCGCACACAGAAGCCGCCGAAGGTCAAAACGCCGGCGCGACGATTCGGCCGTTGGGCGAAATCTAGGCCGGCTCGACACGTGTCGAGACCCGACATTGCACTCGGAAGACCAGCCCTTTACCTCTCCGCCCTGACCCAAACGTCGGTCCGGAAGCGGCTGATATGGTCGCTCTTTCTCTCTCTCCCTCCCCCCCCCCTCTCTCTCTGTCTCTCTCTCTCTCTCTCGGAGAGGATCTCCTACCAATCGGCTGCCCGGCGCAAATGGAGCGGCGCATCACTGCCCGTCGTTAGGAAAGTGGTGGTACACGCAGCGAGATCAGCGGGAATCCGGCACGTGGCGACCTTGACTTTGTCCCGCCGCTGTCATCGTCGTCGTCGTCATCGTCGCCGCGTCGTGCTCTTTACGGTGTTATTATTCATGTAATAACGTTATTTCACCGGACGCTTGTAACGTACGAAAGAACGTACCGTGTCGTGCGTTCAGCAGCTGCTGGAACGTGATCGGACGTCGTTCTTTCTCTCTCTTCTCTTTCTTCTTTTCGCTTCTTATATTTTGGATTCTGTTATTATTATCTGTTTCTTTCTTTCATCAGCGACGTCTCCGCGAGTGGACGCCACTCGCGCCTCTGCGGCCCGAAGCCGCGAGATTCTTCTCGAGAATGAATCGCTTATTTTCTCTGCCTCTTATGTATATCCGCCGGATGCAATCAGACAAATATAACTAAGTTAAGTTACAGTTACAGACGGAAAAAACGGAACGAAGTTATAGTTACCAAAAGCAAATAACTGTAACCGTAACTTCGTTACAAGTAACGAGTTACTTCCCAACCCTGCACAAACAGCCGTCGCCAAATCGAGCGAATGATACGAAGATGCGATCTTCATCATCACTTCTTGAGACTAAAACACCTCAAGACTGACATCGGAAGCCCTTCTTCGATATACAAAGAGATCGCGCCTCCGCGGCCTCGTCGCGGATCGGTTCGCGCGAAATGCGCAGAATCCTTGCGAAATGCATTGCGAGTGCGCAGATTTCGACGGGTTTGCCACACGATACAGCAAAGACAACGGAAAACAATGTGCCGGCCCCACTCGGTAGGTAGGCCGAATAAATCGGTTTCAATCGATATGGATTACGAAGGGCCGGGTTGTTCCAACTTCTCGGTAAGTTAGCTGATAGTTAAATCAGTATGTCTGTCTTCGTCCAAATTGAAGGAAACACTTACAGATAAACGTATGATTTAACTATCAGTTAACTTACCAAGAGATTGGAACAACCCGGCCCTTAGGGCAGGTTATTCCTTGATAAGTCAACTGATAATTAAATCATACGTCTGTCTTCGTCTAAATTGAAGGAAACACAAAGATAAATAAAATATGATTTAACTATCAGTTAAGCTTAGCAAGAAGTTGGAACGACCGATCCTAAGATAAGATCGGTTACTTAAGATAACGGTCGTCAGTCCATTTTTCTACCGCAAGAAACTGCTTGTGCACTCGCGCGATTCATTATCCGCTTCCTCGTCGCACACGTGCAACACGTCCACATGCAATACTCTTTTATCTTATCGCCGATAAGAGGAGTCACGCGAGAACATCCGCGCGCAATTTTGCCGCCGCCGGCATTGTAACCGCTGCGCGCGCTATCGCATTCACCGCTAAATACACGATGCGAATACGCAGTCCCCCCCGGGGAGGGAGGGGGGGGCAGGCAGGGAGGCCCTCCTCTCTTTCCCACAGTGTCCGATCCGGGTGTCGGTTTACGGCATTTGACAATGTCTAGACGCGCCGGCGGCCGGGGCCGGGAGTGATCTTGGGAACGCGAGCGAATCTGCTCGCAGCGACGAATAATATCGCCGGTCTGCGTGTGGGGGCGCATGAGAAGGGGGCCTGCACGTGGAGCCAGGATCGGCACGTGTACGACCTTCGCATTGACCTCCGCGAAACGATCGTCCACCCTGAGGGACGAGGGTCGTCCGTCGCGGCGTATCGTCGGGCCCGGTGATTCATTGTTTCGTGCATTTCTTCGCCGAAGACAAATCACTTCCGCCCGCTCGACGGTTTCGTGACCGAGATCATATCTTTAGAGCGCGGGCCCCCGGATTAGCGAGGGAGCCCTTCGGGCTCCTCGATGTGAGCGCGTTTTTTCAGCGTGTCGACGAGGTAAGAAAATTACGGTTGGCGCTTGTGTTTCGTTTTTAACTGTGCGTTCGGTCGTTTCCGTCCGTGCCTGCGGAGATGTGACGCAGGAATTAGATTGTACACCCTCTGTCCCAAAAATGACCGGAATGGCTTTAAAAAAGAAGCAAAAATAGTTTAAGGAATTGACAAAAATCATTTTATTTATTCGAAATATTCTCTCTCAGCAGAAATACAACGATTTGCACGTTCGAGGAGTGCATCAAATGACTTTTTTACGTCGCTGCTTGAAATGGTGTTGAGATTGCTCGTCGTTGAATGTCTTCAACTAATGCAAAACGGTTTCCTTTCCAAGTCGCCAAATGCAGCTTAGGGAATAGAAAGTCGCAGGTCGCAGGGTGCCATATCGGGCGAACACGGGGGATGTTGAAGCGATAAAATTTGATTTTTGGTCAATCAAAAATCAAGGACAATTGACGAACGATGAGAAGGCATAATTATCGTGCAATAATTATTTTTTCAACCGAGGTATCAAACTACTGTCACTTAAATGCATCATATCTTGGCTTCTAGTGAATGAAATGTCATGAAATTTTTACATGTTATTAAAGAAGGTTGACACTTCCTAACTCAATCTCCCACCAACAGAAAGTACCACTAATTTCATTAAAATCACAAACTTCTATATTATATATACACTAGACTGATAACTTGTCTCTTAATACGTCCCCTAAAAGTATGTACTAAAATTCTGCGCATGCGCATTGCAAGGTCCCGAAACGAATGTAACTGTACGCCGTACTGCACCGTACAGGGAATTTTACTTCACAAAATGTTAATATTTATCAAATATTTAATATTTCCTCTTGCAATGTCACATTCGATGATACATTCAGTGTTCACGTAAATATTAAATATTGGATAAATATTAACATGTTCTGGAATAAAAATGCCTGTACGGTGCAGTTATGTTCGAGACCTTGCAATGCACATGTGCGCACGATTCTATGTTTTACATAAAGAACGCTTTTATACATGAAAACTAATGGAAGTTCTCAGTCTAACTGATATATGGAAGTCTGTGGCTAAAATAAAGCCATTCCGGTTATTTTTGGTACAGAGGGTGTAATATAGATTTTGCATCAGTGTATATTACTTCGTTCTCGTACTCTGTGATACAGTCTTATGATGGTTCCATTCGTTCGAACTCGACAGGAAGCGGGGGAATTATTGAGAAGAGAGGCTACTACCTAAAGCGCGATCGCCAGATTCTTCAGGAGCGCGCGATAGTCGTCGCTGCAGCAGCAATTTGCGATCAGCCGGTGCTCCCTGCAGCTGTTGGCGTGCAGGAATCCGCAGTCCGCCAGTCTGCACTGATAAGGCAAGTCATGATGAGAATCGCTGCAACAGCAGGCGTCGTGGAACATCTTCTCGCCGCAGTAAGGATAAACCGAGCTGTCGCAAAGGGGACATCTGTAATGGAAAAATGTCGATGTTACACGATATACGCGCACTGTCACTTCGACTTTTGTATTGTTTCGCACTTTTTGTCGCGGGGAAGCTCGATTTTCATGAACGGAACGCTGATCAATGCTGATGCCGATGGCAGAATAATTTGCTGCGTTGAGCTGCGATGAAGCTGCGATGACGTGCGGCTGATACAAGAGTGGAGAGAGTAAATTTGCGATAAACTCACCTCTGCGGTCTGTATCTGTTCGCGAACGAAGGGTAAGGATAATCTCCTAGGAACTGCCGTCCTTCGTACTTCGGTAGAGGCGTTAGCGGCTCGTTAATCGCGCTCATTGCCCCTGATGCGTGACCACCCGGCATTTCTCCGCGTTCGTCTGGAAAACACTCGCAAAGGGACCGTTAGCAAAGCGCTGGCATTCTCCGACTATGAGTCTTGTTAAACAACGAAAATTGCATTTTGCAAACGTCGGTGTGATGTAACAAGAGTAACACAGATTTCACGTTATCGGTACGTTATCGTAAGGCTCGTTTACAAAATCATTCCGCTGTTTGTGAAGTCTCGCCTTAACGGATGCGTTAGGGACGACGTATATTTTACAAAAAATACATATAATATATATATATATATACATATACAGTCTCTATGTATAAAAATATACACAGTTCTTATTATTAGCGTTTTATTACATCGCCGCTGCGTTATCGTGTCGTTGTGTGATCTCACCGTCGGGCTCCCGACGGCTTTGCGAGCTAAATTAACTTTTATTACGTTTACCGTGCGTGTGGAAGTTGAGGAATGCTCGGCGAACAACATATTACGAAACTTCTGTTTGCGTTGGCGATAAAAATTATAAAAAACATTTCACGTTATCAGCACTATCGTATTCGACGATATCGTATGCGACGAGCGTATATATACGCATTTTGCGCAGCGCTTAAGAAAAAACACGCACGTTTGTTTATTCGAACGCGCGACATACAAATGCACGAGAATATTCGCACTCACCGGATGCACCGGATGACGCACAGCAAAGCGACAGGAGAAGCACGCTGAGCAGAAGCACCAAAGGCGACATTTTCCCGGGGAAAATCAACGAAGAAGACCGTCTAGGAGGGAACGAAGGTTTTTCCACTTGCGTACTTGCTCGCGACGCGACTGGAATTTTTTGTGGCTCGAAACGAGATCTCCTGTGGCTTCGATCTCTCGCGTAGACTCACGCGGCGTTTATTCACCGGCCTCACCTGCCTCGTAGAACGCGGTCGACGTACCCGTTACTTATAACTGGTCGACGAACATCCTTCTCTTCTTATGTGCCGGCGAGTCGAAGACGAGAAAAAAGACGGCGAGGCGATACGCATGTATGCGAATTCGGAATTCGCTAGACTTTTCGATCGCGCGAAGCGATGCGACAGTCTCCGTCGCATATATCTGCCAATGTATCGCTAAATATCTCCCGAAATTGATTACAAATAAAATGCGATGCGGGTTGCAAACTCGCTGGTTGCATGCAATTTTTCGCGCAAGTTGGCGCGAACGATGTCTCTCTATCATTTCCGCCGGGAGAACAACTCACTTATCCAACGTTTGTACAAAATTGATTCTCCGTCGATTCAATGGACGCTGCCACAGATCTTACAATGAATGTGCTCGCAAGTTCGCAAGGTTTCTCAGATGCACGAAAAGATGTCATCATGCCGGGGCGGGATAGATGTGTCAATTCAAAACTAGAATTGTGCCGGTTGAATTAAGGAATGTAGGCCGGTGCGAGGCGGGTAAGTTAGAAAGTCTCGAGAATCATCTCTCGCATAGGTGTAGTTAATCGCTCAGCCAACTCGATGACACGACGATGACCTTCTTCCATTCGTGAACTAGATAATTGCATTCCACGATTCAGATGTTTAACGCGATTCGTATCACCGCTGCTGCCGTGTCCAAGACGTCCGATCACTCCCACGTGTTGCGCCTTACGTGCATCGCCGTCGTGCCGATTAATTAAAGAAGCTTCCCGTCGCAGATATATGTGTGCCTCTTATTTGCGCGAGTGCGGTAAATGATGTCGCAATGGCAATTAGGCCTGAGACAATGGCTCGCGTGCCACTAATAATAGTCCCGTCTAGTCTCTCATATCGTGGCGAAACGCCCGCAGTTTCCCGAGAAGAATGGCCGGCTGCCTCGCACGTTCGCCATGGAAAAATAATTTATTAAAGTAATCGGTACTGTACAAAATATTTGGCGTTGCGGCGAGTATGCTTCTAGGTCAGCAACAGGAGCACCGTTAAGATCAACAGGAACTTCGTGTGCTTCACGTCGGCGCCCGATCCTGCGCCGGTCGCCAGATATTTCCCTGCGAAAAAGGAAAACACCGCCGTCAGTATTTCGTCGTTCTTGCCTTCTCCTGCTCGCGATGTGTCATGAAGGAATTTCCCCCTTTAAGGGGGCAATTACATGCGAAAAGCCATTTTCAAAGCTATTTTTACGAATTTTTTTTGACAGAAACGGTAAGATCAATGGACTCGCAATTTTCACAGTGTATTCATTAATGTTCAAAGTATAAAATAAATTTTATTAAATCATAAGAACCGATCCAATTTGTAATTATAGACAAAAATGCAGTCATCCGTTTCCGAGCTCTATACTGTTTACTGTCGACATAATTCCGGGCCTCTCATTGCTCTGAAATCAAAATGAGAAAAAGATTTTTAAAATATACGGTTGCCATTACGGGGCCCATAGCAAAATGAAGGCAGCTAAGCCAAGTTTGGAAAAATAATGACTGTATGAAAAAAAGTATCGAAAATGAAACTTTTCTTTAACTTGTAATCATGTTTAAAAATATGAATAAAGTAAAATATAACTGCGTATTCGAGGTAGGGCCGAAAACTACATGTCCACTGTATATTGTGTAAAAATTTCAAGTTATTCAGTTCAGTAGTTTCTGCGTAATCGTATCGACAGTTTTAGAAAATGATGTTTCCGGATAGACATGTTTAAAGTTTTATGTGAACTTTCCATATAGGTGGTAACAAATTTATTTTATACTTTGAACATTAATGAATATACTGTGAAAATTTCATCTATTGATCCTCCCGTTTCTGTTAAAAAAATTCGTAAAAATAACCTTAAAAACGGCCTGCTCCGCATATGATTCCCCCCTTAAATCATGATCGCGAAACACTCGCTCCCTCTTCACGTGCGTAAACGGCAACCGAAAGATCGACGCGCAAAGTGGAGTATTGCAGCCGAATTTAATTAACCCCAAAAATGAGCACAAAACGGGAGTAAACAAGATAACGCGCGTATAAAATCACGAAGGTGGGCGAGAGGTTAAAGCGCTGGATAATGATAAAGCGCACGATAACAATATGTCGTTTAATTTTTCCTCACGTTATAACGCCCACGTTGAGCAGTAACCGCGCTTTAGCAGATGAAAAAAGGAAGAGGGAAAAAAAGATGACACCGTGCGCGATAAGGAGTGTCCGCAATTGGAGCAGCGTAGTTAGAGCGGATCGGGCGCTGATTCCCCCGGACGTGTGTTTCAACATACATCATGTCCATGGATTTATAAATATCGATATCGCATTATATTTGTAGCCTGCGATAAGCCTCGATAATTGCGGAGCGGTTGAAGAAAAGCACCTCGCGGAATTATTCGCGATAAGAATGACGCGTCTTATCGGCATTACGCAAAACTATTTCGTCGAGCTCTTTTCCCTCGATACGGCTCGATACGACTCGGAAAAAGAAATAGTCTAAATGGAAAAGGATAAAAAGGCTTCTCCTTCCTTCTCTCTGCTCACGGACGCGCGATTGTATGGAAATCGCCGGGACATACACGTGCGTCTACAAAAAGTATGCCGCGTGTTGTCCCGAGAGATTACTCGTGAATCGCACTCATGTAACATAATTGCCCCCGTGGTTCGTAATATGACTATACTACTGCGACTATGAGGTGAATAGTCATGAAGTGAATGAGTAATTATATAACTTCTTTCTGCCCTATCTCTCTCTCTCTCTCTCTCTCTCTCTCTCTCTCTCTCTCTCTCTCTCTCTCTCTCTCTCTCTCTCTCTCTCTCTCTCTCTCTCTCTCTCTCTCCCCGGGAGAGTTTCGAAGCTTACAGACGGAGGCCAAGTACGAATGGCAACAGCATTCCCGCAGTCTCGTGTATTCCGCGCAGTTTCCAGCCTGCACTTTGCATTCCTCTGGTCCCACGCGACAGGTGTGCTCGACGAAGGGGAACACTTCTGAAACAAAAGGCAGATAAACGTGTAAATGTGAAGTCACGATTGTGGCGAGCACGACCACCTTAGTTCATATTTATAAAAAATAACTGCCTGTCATTTCCGATTCATTCGTTTCCATTCAACTTTTATTCGCGCGACTTTCAGCATTTTCGTCTTGAGATGAAAATGCATGTTTTACTGCAATGTCACTGCACACGTTTAGAAGTTCTTATTTGTCGGAGATTTAAGTTATTATCACTGGTTGTGCTAGAAATGGCAAATCATTTTAATTTCCGAACAAACTAAATGCCAGGCTTGGCATAAATTAACCGCGCTCAAACGGTATAAACGTCGTAATGGAGAATCATTTAAGGAACACGAGACATTTCTCGTCGGGGTCTAAGTAATTCATGGAGGAAAAGATTGTGCTTATCCCGTGTCTATTACAATATTCAAATGCGCGTGTGTATAGATATGCAGGTTGTTTGATGATAAAGCTATCATGTACGTATAGATTAGGTCTGAACGAAACTGAACGAGAAATTCCTGTTCTCTTTATTTTGCGAACGACCACATAAAATTCCGAGTTATTAATTAAAGAAGACTGGCATATAATCTTGCACGATAGTTGACAAATATTCCTCAAGTAATAACTCAGATTTTTCCCTGGTTCTTCGTAAAGTGGGGTGTGGAGGAATTTTTTTCAGTTCAGTCCGACCTAATCTATGCGTGCGCGAGAATCTTATATGTATGACACCCTGTATATAAAGTATATAAAAAATACCGGGACAGCGAAATATCTCGAAAATTATGCATTTTAGAAAAAAATGTTTCAGACAAAAGTCGTGTTGTTTTAAGAACATAAAACAACTATATAATTTTGTTTACAGATAGTGCCACTTTCGAGATATTCACTGATCATTACTCTTTTTAAATGGAAACTCTTATTTTTTATTATATCATCTTTTTCTATCAACTAATTTTAACAACTTTTATCTGAAATATTTTTTTATTTGTCTAATATTTTTTGAGATATTTAAGGAAAACTTGATAACTTTTTCAACATTTAACTTACGATATCTTGCTATTTGTCGAAAGAAAAAATAATACTAAACTTTTTTATTCTGTTTAGTCTCAAGAATATATTGTTATAATAGTGGCCTAACTTTTATTAACTTATCGACCTTTGGAAATCTCAAAATCATCAAATTAAACATCTCAAAAAATATTAGGCAAATAAAAAACAAAACACAAACAAAACTTTTGTTTCAAACAAAAGTTGTTCAAATTAATCGGTAGAAGAAGATGATATAATAAAAAATTGGGATTTCCGTTTAAGAAAAGTAATGATCAGTGAGTATCTCGCGAAAGTGGCGCCACCTGTAAAAAAATGATGTAGTCGTTTTACGTCCCCTTTGAAGCCATACAACTTTTGTCTGAAACGCTTCCTGGTATCTTTCATCGAGATTTTTGCTTGGCTCATTTAAAAAGGGGACATCCTGTATACGTGGTGCGTGGTGGTACATCGAACGTAGGCGTCGCGATAATTAACCGGCCTCATATGTGGCTCGGCGATTAATCCGACGTAACGAGATATCGAGCGCTTCCGGCGCGCTATCGGCTTTATATCATGAGCCATTAAATAAGAGCGCAGGATGAGCGAACCGACGACTCACGGACGCGATTGAAAGGTGAGTCGCCGCTTGGGTATTCCATGCGCGTAGCCGCCGCGTGCAGCGATGCGACTTCGATGCATCGGCGGGAGTCTATGTGCGCGTATGCACGAAACAACTAACAACGAAGCGGCGAGGATTCGGCGGTTTGAGTAAGCGAGTTTCAGTCGTGCTTTCCTACCTCATCTTTCGCATTTGCAACGGATTACTCCTATCGTGGTGGCCGTTCGCGATATCATGAAGGATCAAATACACTTCCCCGCCAGATGACAGGTGGCACTAGACGCGCTGATTAGGGAGTCGAAAGACAAAGATGCTGCGAGCTGATGGACGATAGTCGCGCGAAGAGTCCGAGAAACATACGGAATGTGTTTAAGCGACCGGTTCAACGGCTCACGTGAGTCACCCGATGGATTCCGCACGACAAGAGGACTAACGCACGCGCGGAGGACAAGGATAGCTCACTACGACGAGCGATGATTTCCTGAACAGGTGACTGCCCTTCCGTTCAGCTGGAGGAAACATCAGCGAACATCCTCTTTACTCCGCATTCGACTTGCAAGTGGCAACAGGGGTAATTTCCCCCCCCCCCGAAAATAGCGACCGCTCGAACGACTAACGCGTAGAAAGACCGATGACAAGACATGATACAATCGACGATCGGCTGATCCTGCGACGCGCTTGTCTGGCTAATTCTCATCGAGATTTCGTAAACGTCGCTTCTTCCTGTAAGCTCGGTCCGCGCGTAATTTTCGCGTTCCTCTACGAGTCTGTTAGCTCGGTAGGCTTCTGCGAGTAGTTCTCTTTAACGCAAACAGCGATCCTGCCGAACCGTCGTTCACACGGCCAATAGGCGCAGCGAGACTGCCGTAACGGCACGTAGAGAGCGTGCATCGACTAAAAATAATTGCGGTTACGCGCGGAGTTGCGCGATCCGCGATGGCATTGTGCAAATTGCAGAAACGCCAGCGTGATCCGCGCTGTCATTGCCGTTGCTCTAAATTTCCGTGAAGCGTTACACAATCGCGGCTTGTCACGGCCGATCGTTCACGCACGAATTCGCCGGTAGGATCGTTTTTCATGCGACTTCTCCAGCGCACCCGAGCGAACGCGAGCGAAGGACGAGAACGACAAACACGACTTCCGTCGCGCCGGGAAGGTTAAACCAATTTCTGCCGTTATTTCCGAATGACTCGTTATCCTGCCGATCTGCGCCATCGGTTGCTTCTCGCTGGAACGTCATGGTCGCTTAATTTTACTGGTGGATCTCTTCCGGCCTGTGTGTCCGCTTACGCGCTGCAGCCCGCGGTACCTACTGTTGGTGTTTCCCTCGCAGCAGCAGTGATCTTCGATGACTCTGCCGTCCGAGCAGTAAGTCATCTCGGAGCTGATGCACGCCTTGCAGCCCGGAATAGGTCCTGTGAATATAAAAGACGATTAGCGCGAGCGATCGGAGATCGGAGTGGCTGGAAGGGGCGAGTAAGAAGCTGGGAACGTAAATCGCGTCGAGGAACAATCGACACATTGTCGATAGCCGTTCGCTCGTGAAGAAAGGAAGGATCCACACCGGCGAGCGAGACGCGCCGGAGGATCGCCGGAGGCGGGCTCGTGCGGAGGCGGGGGCGAACGCGCCTTCTCATTTGTCGGGAATTATATTTCATTAACCTCGGAACGTCGGCGATTAAAATTCATGACAATCGCCGACGAATCCGCGTTTGTGATTCACGTTAATTAGCGTCTCCGCGCTAGCGTCTCTCTTTACGTAATCCCCCGCCTGAAATCGTGTCGCGGACGCTCGCGCGGCGAGACGATACGAGCGCGATGCACCGTCGTATCAGCGCCGATCGCGAAACATTGTATAACTTTTGTCTTCATACGCGAGCGAGCGATCGCGGAACCTTCTCATTAGACCGTTCTAAATTCACGCTGGCTGTCGCGACAAGCGCCGCGCGTGTTGCGCGTCAATTGAATCGCATGAATCGGAAATATGCGCCGCGCAGCGGCCGTGCGTCGCTATAATTGACGCGTGCCGCGATATCCGCGATATTCAGCGATAATCGCCGGTTTTCACGAGCTTGATCACGAGTTATCAGCGCATCGATCGGTGAACATATCGTAAGCGTCGCTGCGGCTCGGCGGCTGTCGGGAGAGAAACGCGCGCGATGACGATCAATACGGTTTTCCCCTTGTTGAGTTCGCTTAATTCAAGATGTCGATCACCGGAGGATGCGTTATCATCGGGCACTCTCAAATTATTATCGCGATCTCTCTTATTCGCTCGCGGCCACGCAGGCGAGTCCTTTGATAACGCGAGCGTCGCGCGTGACATCTGACCGGGGCGACGATTAAATCAATGAAATCTGAGCCACGCGGCCGACGTGAGCGATATAAGGAGTGGTAATCATCGACTTCCTCGCTCATTCGGAATTATCGGTAATCGCGTGTAACGAGAGCCACGTGAGCGGCGTGTCTGCTCGCCGCGCGGTTACGATGTAAGCGATGCAACGCGCTTCCGATGTAACGCGCCGATTCTCGCGTATGCGCCGCCCCGTCATTCGTTTTATCGCGCGAAAAAGAAGCGTGCTGGAACGAGAAAATGTCGAGTTGCGACATTCTCGTCGAGGAAGATCACAGCAGCAAAGGTACTCCGTAACTCAATCAAGCTTGCGCGATTTAGCTTACGCTATTTGTAAGTAATAATAATAATAATAATAATAATAATAATAATAATAATAATAATATTATTATTAATAATGATGATGATGATGACGACAAAACAACAACGAGCAACGACTGGGGATTTTGCGAGTGGAGCCTCAACATGCGTACCTTTCTCGTCCGTGCCGGCTGGAGTGCGATTGGCAGGACAAAAATTCAAGACATTAATCGTACGTTGTCGGATAGGTGGATCAAAGGGGCGGCTATTCTCGGCGGCAAGATAAATACATTTCGGTGTGTACCTTAAAGTAGCTTTATAGACCGGCCGTATAGGAGTCGAACAAGAGCGTCAGTTTAACGCGACGCTTTTAGCATCTGGGTTAGATTGGAAAGACCCGCAGCAAGAACGCGATCGAGATACATGGGATATGTGTCGCAACGCGCGCAACCGCCTCCTTTTCGTCGCGAGAAAAAATGCGGTTTTCCGATTAATCTGAGACATCGGTATTTTCCAACCTGTCGCCTGCGATGCGACGATAGCTCTCGATAAAGTCACGAGGTGCATATCGGTTGTTTCCAAGCTGATAGAATGGATCGTGTCTAAAAATAGAAACTACGCGTTAAAATGAGTCCAGTATCGGCGGGTGTTTACTTGTTATGTGTATTTACGTTATGTGTATTACGAAAGTGTGATTAATCTTCCGATAGGCGCAGTATATTTAAGCAGATACGGCATTCCGTTTGAAATCTTCAAAATTTTGACGGTATTTACAGTGAGACCGAAGCGAAAGAAGCATTATACACATGTGCACGAAAACATGACATGTATATGAAACCACTAGCGACTCCTGACGTCGATAATAGGAGGGGAGAGGGGTTTGATAAAATTGTTTTATTTGATACGTTTCTTTGTTTCACGCTTAGCTTTAACTCCAGGATCAATGACGAGGAACGACGTGGCGAAACTTATGATCTCATTTTTTATTCCTTTTTGTTTTTTGTTTTCTTTGTTTTTTTGTTTTTTTTATTTATTTATAAAGGAGGATTCACACTGCGTCCGATGTTCAATGTACGACGTCCGATATTCAATAGGAGAGCTTTTCTACAGACTCTAATTAACAGAATTTCAGAAAAAGAAACTGTTTAAGATTGTATTACCCCTAAGACAAAAATCATATTAGTTACGATATCCTGTTTGTGTGTGTAATCGTCTCTTAATGCCTTTGTTTTCAATAGGAATAAAAATAATCGAACAGTAGATAATGGAACAATTCAATAGGAATAATCTAATAGTCCTAGTGCAACGGAATGTATCGGAGGAAGTTCGAGAAACATCTTTCATCTGGTTACGTTGCAATGTGCTGTCAGGGAAAACAGATACGATGTCCTGAAATTCTTACCAGAATATAACTCCATTTTCTTCGCTTCGGCCAGCGCATCCTCGCGGAGGACTTCGTGATTAAGGACGTACTCATCGTCGGGATGGTGATTCACGATAGTGACCGCCTCGAGGCCGAGGGTCAGTAGAAGCATCAGGATACCAATCGCACCGTTGAAGTTGATCATGCTAGTGCCTCGTTTCTCATCTTCCTGCTCAACTTCGTTCGTCGACTCGCGCGTTGACTCTCTTTTTCGGGCGAAGTAATTTCTGCCAAAACGAAAATATACAACGAACATGTTGTCAGGAAAAATTCAAAGCAATCCGCTTCGGACGTTGGCAAATGGCGACAAGTGAATGTCTCATTTGGTGATCCTCGACGTGAAAATAAATTCATAAATTAATAATGTATATGTTGAGCTACGCGCACAAAATTAATATTTGTCAGGAAACTTGAATATTTGGGATTTCAATTGTATCATATATTTTTCTAATTTACGAACAGATTTTGACTTATTTGTAATATTTTCTCAGAACTGACTGAAGTGAACTATTTAGTGACATGACATGATAGTTTAGTCTTGTTTTCTGGTTTACAATTTAAAGAGATTAAAGAATAACTGCGTAAATCTAATAAACAGACATTTGATATTAAATATTATCTTTTGATATTATTTTCTCTAAACTGTCGATAGTTGACTGTTGAACTGTTATCATCATTGGTACGTTTGTAATTATGATGCCGCGGCAGCAACTGTAGCTCTTAATTTTATTCGAAATTTATTTCAACCGTCAACATTATAGAGTAAAAAACATGTCGTTTCTCTGTTATCCTTTGTTGAAGAAAACGGATGCAATTGTCACAAATTGAAACACCGTCGTCAAATGGGACATTCAACTTACTTGGCTGACGAGTAATTAGTTTTCACTGCAACGCAATGAAGTCAGTCTCGCCCACAAAAATCGGAGCGGACTTTTCGGCTAAACCAACGTTATGGTAAAATAATAAAATAATAATTGTAAATTACGTGCTTGTATGTGCGTGTGTGTCTGTGTGGGCAAGAACATAGAATATATCTATTCCGTCAACCGCACCCGTGCGTCCCGAGAGAAACAATGCTGAGACGAAATCAGCTGCGATTTAAAACTCGATATACTCCCTCTGATGGCCGGAATCCCAGGTGGGCACGCGATGAAACGACTATCGTAACCGGAAAGCAAGAGAAGATACCGTCACAGAAAAGACCGAACATGGACGTTGTTCTCTACGTGATAAGAATTATATAACGTAAAACGCGCCGCGCGGAATCAATGTCAGTCTCATCAGGTCGTAAGGCGACAAAGTACACTCGTCGGCGACTGTTTTCGCGCAACTGTAAAATCGCGACATCGGTCTGCCCGAAAGCGAAGCCTCTTCAAGGGCCGGCTGTCCTAACTCCTTGGTAAGGACAATTGACAACTGACTTCTAACCGACTTGATAAGTTAAATCACACGTTTATCTTTGTTTTTCCTTCAATTTAGACAAAGACAGACATGCGATTTAACTTACCCTAAAGGCCGGCTGTTCCAACTTCTTTTTTCACACGTTTGTCTCTATTTTTCCTTCAGTGTAAACCAAGACAGACATACGATTTAACTGTCGGTTAACTTACCAAAGAGTTGGAACAACCTGCTCTAGGTCAGACAAAGATCGAAGTTACTCGCCGCGACTAGTTGCGTCGCGTCGCATTCACGAGCCCATTAGAGCGAATAACACACTCGATTCGATCGCGCTCGGTACGATCGCCGCGAGCCCGCCTCACGTAAGCCGCGTAATTGATCGTCGCATCTGTTCCTGGTACGCGGGTCGATAGTGTTTTCATATTCAAGAGCGCGCACAGAAACGTAGCGAGGGGGGTCTTTCATATCGATCGGCCGATTCGCCTCGTCCTGGGGGGATGATTCATCCCTCGTCGCTCGCGACTTGATTCGGTGCTCCTCGGACCACCCTCGCTTTTCACGCCGACACCGAGTCGACACCGCGGGGCGAGATCGAAAGTGAATATTTTGCCACGCGAGAACGGACATCGGGCGGATCTAGAAACGACGATCCGTCGAATTTTATCGCCCAAACAAACGATTCCGCCGCCGCCGCAAGAGCGATCGTCCGACAATGTGATCGTCGCCGTGGCGAATTTGACGTCCTTGGCGATTCCTCTGACAAATTTCCCACAAGCGAAAAAGTAACGGGTGGCCATTATTTTGCGCGGCAAATGGGCGACGAGAGAGAGTTGCTTGAGTTATATCTTTTGCCGCATTATGAGTAAAAAAAATTTTTGTTTGTCAAGTAACAAATATTTCATCATTGTGTTTCGTTTTCGAGCCAAAGGATCCAAAGGACAAATATCAAGGAGGTGATGCGAAATGTATTGAAACAATGTGACATGATATGAGAGATACAATGAGACATGATAAAAATTTTTGAGAATTATTGTTTGAGTCTCGATTTAACTAATTGCTCTTTCCGCTGCGGAAACTGCGGAAAACCAATTGTCTTCTCTCACGGAGAACGGGTTTCATTTCACCGAGGTGTAATTTCTGAAGTCGTCCAGAGAAGCATGGAGATCTCCAACAATAAGTGTCATGAGTGCCTGAATGAGCGTGCAGCATGGCGTAAAAGGGCGATAATGGCAGAATTCTGCTCGAGTTGCACGCGTCGTGAGTCACGGCGGGCCTGATGACGGTGGTCATTAATTAGAGCCAATTAAGGGCGAGCGGCGCGAAACGCGAACGTCTTGCCCTCGGAGATCAAGGTGGCATCCCGACGTCTCTTCCTGCCGTTGTCCACCGTTGTTTGTCGAGCCGCCGCGCCGCGAGCTGCCGCCTTTATTTCGTCGCGCGCGCGCGCGCGTCGAGAAATGCCCGACGAGCGTTCTCTCTCGAAACGGCGCTAAACCTAATTAAGGATATTTGACGGGTCGACACGAGGGGCGGGGTGTGTTTCGCTCGCTTTTAGAAATTACGTCGCGCGGCTAAGCGATGTTTCTCAAGTGACAACGGGAAGCAGGACAGCTACGTCAGGAAGTGATACTTCCTTCAAAGTGCCACAATACACCACAGAGATTAGACAAAGGTGCGTTGAACAGAGACGCCTGCTGCTTTCAATAGATCGCAGCGTGAGAAACGGCAAGGATCGCGCAATCATTTTAGGCACACGACAGGCTCTGCGATAATGCAGAATAAAAGAAAAACGTATTATCGTAAAAATCAAGAACGCACGAGCGATGGATAGAATTGTTGGAAATAGGTCGGCGGGACAGTAAACGCAAAGTAATGCAAATGATAAAACGTGTACGAGGCATTTTCGAAGGCGCTTTAGAACTTCTCATCGTGCACACAAAGGCTTCGCTTAAAAATTAAAATCAATTTCGAATAATCCTTTCACAACGCGGTGCAGAAGTGTCCCTTTCTCCGTCACCCCTTGCAAATATTTAACCGCGACGTTAAATCGTTCGGTCGATACGTTTTTCGAGCCGGATTCTAATTATTTATCAGAAAACGGTATATCTAATCGAGAGTCACGCTTTCATAATTCTCGTAGTATCGTACGATCGTACGTCGAAGCGACACGTACGTCCAAACAGACGCGGCCTTATCTCTGTTTTCTCTTAAAATCTCGCTTGACCTCTTATAAAAGTGGCCATCAGCGATCCTCGAGCGGCAAATCGCCGCGTTGGAGTAGCGAAATTCCTTACCAGCATTTCACCGATTTGCAATTTTCCATGGGAGCCTCAACTTCGACAGCCACGTCGCATCGCTCCGAAACGTCACTTTTCGAACGCACCTCGACGACTCCGAACGTACAATCCATTCGTGCAATTCGATCGCCAGGCGGAAAAAAGAGCAGCCGCTGTCTCTCTCTCTCTCTCTCTCTCTCTCTCTCTCTCTCTCTTCACACCGCTCTGAATCTGCTTTTCTTCTGCTTTCTGTAATTTTTATTTTGTCACGTTGCCGCGCGGATCTCCGTTCTGGAAGAGCGCGAAGATCGAGCAGATGTATTCGCGGACGCGCGTGCCGGGCCGGGAAAATCGCGGAAAACCGAACGGCCACGGCGGAAAAGCGCGACGGACGGACGGACGGACGAACGGAGACGGACGGACGACCGTCGAAGACTGCGGGTCGCGTTGAACTGCCGGTCGAGGGCTGAAAACACTATTTAAACCGCTCCACCATACACCACCTTCGGATGCCAGCCGCACCGCTGCTACGCGACGCCGCGGCTTGGCCGAGCGTGCACCGAAGTCGAAGTCGACGTACGCGCAATGTCGCGTGTGCAAAAGTTTAAAATTTTGCGACTGATAAAGCGAACTAACCGAATTACGCCACTTTAAGCAAAGACTTTTCCAGAGTTTATTTCTAGAAAAGGAAAGTGTTGTTATAGGTAAGACTACGAATCTTATTAAAAGTTATTATTTTTTGTAAATTAACGAAAACACTTATACAAATTAGAAATAAACAAGATTATTTATTTATATAAAAGAATCAAGCGTGAACTGCAAATGTCCCGAATTACGCCCACTGAAATCGTAGAATGTCCCAATTTACGCCGCTAATTATTTTATATTATATGGAAACTATATAACTTAATAATATTATACCTTCTTATCATCTTTTATTATATTTTAATCGTACAAAATTGAAACACTTTATATTATTACCCAACAATATCTCATTTTATCACATTATAAGGTATTTATCATATTATAAGGTACAATGTCACTTCATAGGTTAGTAATCATTTAGAAGCAAATTCAGTCGAAAATAGTCAAAAGTGACAGATCTTTGATATAGACTTTTGTGTGGGTGAAATTGATTTTCGGTGAGAATTACATTATATTTTCATATACTTGCTTTAGCGGAGCCATTTGACACACTATCACGACTTCTTTCCGGCAATTTTTTGACATTTTTACTCAGCTGTTTTGTTACACGCATAGAACGCATAGAAGCTAAGGTAGCGTAATTCGGTTCAGTGGCATAATTCGGTACATTTATCTTACGTGGAAAATTAGCGAGGCTACATTTGTGCTTCCTCAAGCGCCTCAAATTCACCTCGCACCTGTGTGAGCAATGCGCGGTTATTAAAAGCGTTTTTAAATCCACGGGGACGACCGCGACGATGATTTCTTTCATCAGAAGAATTATTAGGTGTATGCCATTTAATCTTTTTTAGCCCTCTTGTATGATTAGTTTCATATTAAAATATTGTAGTATTAAATCAAAATGTTTT